TAAAAAATCTAACTTTGCTTGTATAAAAATTTTTCTGTCTTTCCTATTTTTATATGTTTGCCTATTTCGATTGAAACCAAAAGCAATCCTTCATTATTATTCAGTCCTAAACTTTATAATAATGCTTGCTTACTTATTACTCAATGTCATTTAAACAACTAAAAGGATTTGCATCTAATATGGTACATAGATAGATCACGTTCTGATGGACAAAGTCGCGGGATATAATTAGTAAAATGAAGTTACACATTTAGGGCGACTAAATGTGCCTCGTCTATGTAAACCTTAATGGCTTTTTTATGGATGATAATGGAATTGTAACAGTATACGCTGGTGGGGCACCAGTGAGGGATGACAGGTGAGAATAGAATAGAATTTAGAATAGAAATCATTTATTCAAATAAACTTACATTGAAGCACTTTTGAAAAGTCATTACATTTTTTTTAATTTACCGCTCGTTCGGAAAGCTGTCTCATCACAAGAAGAACGAGCAAGAAACTTGCGTGATGCTCTTTTAAATAATTTTATTATTATTTTACATTTTTAAGTTTAATTGTGTGAATACAAACCACCAATTAGCACTAATTCAATTAAATACTCAAAAAGAAAAAAAAATTGAATACATAACCAACTGGTTAAACAATTAATAAGAGGAAATCAGTCATAGTGATTAGAGCAGACCAGTCCCTACAAGCAGCACCCGTTCACGAGTATGACGGATGAGCCAGCCATCACTGCGCTCGACCATATTTTAGGGAGCCCAATGACCCGGCCCACCACGCCGCCACAAGTCTGGACATTTTAGTGAGCATGACTACTCAAAACACTAGACCACGTCAAAGCTACTCAAGAATGAACAAGCAACCAGAGGGAGACTTTGTACAAAAGTCGATTGCTTGGATACCTCTGTCCCATTCGAGTTTTCACCGTGAAGCAGTTGTATTTGCATAGCTGTGTTTCAGTTTGAAGGGTGGGATATGGCGTGAATTTATTGGGTACAGAGGAATAACATCTGAGTCCTCAGGAATAGCAACGCATGGGGGGTATCATGGGCGAAACAGTATGCTCTGTTAAGTCCACGGTACTGCTCATGTCTATAGGCGACGGTTACCACTTGTTTGCCATTCTAAGTTGTATAAAAAATAAGTTAGCCCATCATCATGATACCTGGAATTTAGCACGATGGTTTCCAGGGGGCTCACGTAGATGTCGAACTGACAGGGTATATTGCTAGCAATGGGACTGGTAGTCCGCATCACTAGCAATTTCTCCCCTGCCTTAATAAGTTATCGATATAGTGGATAAATGAATGAATAATCTATTTGACTTCATTAAATTAATAAAATAGAAAATCTCAAAAATACAAACATATAGGCAAACTGTTGACTGGATTTTTTTGTTTCACTTTGAAGACAAAAACAATGGTTTCATTTTGAAATTTAATTATAAAAAAATTGAACTGAACACCTGCAATACCAGAGGTACTCTAATTATGATTATGACTGTAACTTTAATTAAAAATATTATTTTTAAATAATTGAAATAGCAATGTCACTTTTAAATAAATAAATATTTACTTGAACATTACATAATATTCACGTACATGTCCCCGTATTGACTTGCTTACAGCGCTGCAATCCAATAAGAAATGGGCTTTGGGAATACATACGGAAATAGGAAATGACGGGATTCCTTATTTCCTGTTCCCATTCCCACAACTTCGGGGTGAAGAATTCGGGGTCCGACCGCAACCCGTATATGACAGATGACACCCGTCGCGTAGGCGTACATACAGTACAGTAAATACTTCACGTAAAATGAGATGTAAGCATATTTGTTACCTATACCTACCTATGGCACAGTTTTTCAAACTTTTTCAACGACTCCCCGAGAGAAGGTTTCAATTCGTCAGTATGTTTTATGGATATTTTACGTGTTGAGGTGATCAAAACTGAAGCAATTTTGATAATTCTCTTTAATATACATACAAATTTCTTGACGACTTATGCTGCCAATTTTATTTGCGTAAAAAACTCATTGTTTTGAAGTTAAATCTAGTTGCAACATACAATACGTTTCACGAATATATTAGATTATAAAAAATATATATTTAGAATAGGAAATTTTATATTTTTAGTCTGTAGTCTATTATTAAAACATACAACTATATGTTTTGATTATTCTCAGTGTAATTAGTCACGATTGAATGTGCTGTGTTTTTGTTAAAATAAAAAGAAAATATACTGCTTAGTATTCCAGTGCATTAAATAAGGCAAAAAAATGTTTGACCACTACTATTTACTAAACACTTAATATTAATTTGACGATGATAAAAGTTTTTTTTTTTTTTTTTTAATAAAATAATTGGTCTATTATCATTGAAAAATATTTTGTTTATATGTATTTTCAATGATATTCTACGTATTTTAAAACATTTAAATCGGCAACTAAACCTACCATTGCATTTAATTATGATTTCAAACAACTTTAACTATTAGTATAAAAATTTGCATTTTTTTTAATATAAAATATTTATTGAATGCTTCGTACAAAGATCTTATTTTTAAAATAAAAATTACGATCTCCTATAAAAACCGTAATCCCCAGTTTAAGAAACGTTGACCTGTACTTTTTTATTTTCATTCTTACTAACATAAGAAATACGAAAGTGAGTTTGTTACTTTATAGCGCTTTAACAGCTTAACCAATAACTGTGAAATTTGGTATATACACTATATATTAGATAAAGAAGGATATATGCTACTTTTTATCCCGGCCAGTAAACATATCCCGGTCACGCGGACGAAATAACGGATACAAGTGTTACATAAACAATAATACACATAAACAAATAATGGTGTTAAAATTTATTGTGTTATTTACACTATCTAGTCGTATTAAAGTTTAATAAATAAAAAGTAGTAAAAATAAAAACAAAGTATACAAAAATCAACTTTCATCGATTATTTATTTATTTATTACATCTACTGGATGAGCTAGCAGTCTTCCAATACGCTTACCTAGGATTATCTAATTGATTAAGAAAAATTTTATATTTTATCAGCATTTTTGCATTATTATTAATTAAATTATTATTATATATAGACGCCATGGAACCAAGAGACAATAAACAAACTCAATAACCATATTTATATTTATATTGTTGTAACATTTTAAATATGGAAGTAAGTTATATCCTTAGTATGTTTGTTAATAAGTCTAATATATAACTTATATTATTATATATTTATATTGTTTATAATTATAAAAAGTTGACTACGGTAATCTTTTGGAAAAAACAATAAAAAGTTTGCCATCTTTGTGATATAAGAAAATATTAGTAAGCAGAAGTACATTTCTGATATGGTTCCATGAAAACAAACACCAGTATCTACCCCATAATTGTCTAATGCCCACCTCAAAATAATGGTCGGAAGTTTGAACTAGAGATAAATATAAATCTGAGAATATATATACACTTTTTTTAAGGAGCCAGACCCACTCTAGAAAATAATTTTAAAGATGCCAATAATTCTGTCCTATTTAAATTTCAGTTTTTTCTTTCTTTTTTAATCTTAATTCAATTATTAAGAAACATTAAACAAATAGTCAATTCGTTTCAGCGATTCTCAAGTGATGTGCATACAAGCGAACAATATCTAATTTTTTATACATATAGATAGATAGATAGATACTATTTATTGTTCCCTTCAAAAGATTACAGTAGTAAACTCATTGTAAACACAGAAAAAGCTCACACTGAGAAAACAATGGGTGGCGTTATCGCTAAAAGCAATCTCCAAATGGAAATGTATAGTAGTTTAAATAAACTTAAGGACAATATACAGAAATTAATCAACTTATACAAACAATAAAAATGTCCGTGCAATAAACACAGTGAAACTAAGTTGTAAAGAAAGAAAGAATTTATTTACAAACATGTGATTCACACATGCATGCGTAGTATGAATAAAAAACTAAGTATAACTATATAATTAAACAAATAAAAATAAAAGCTAATAATAATAAGTGCAAGTGTGTAGTCGTTTGCGTGTGTGTGTCGCATTGAAATAGGACACAAAATGAATATAGGACTATATGGAAAATACTCTTTCAATTAAAAAAAAATCATTAATATCGCATTAAATTTGGTAAAGATATAGGGTAACATACAAATAATATAATAAAATTGTAAAGCTCCTCATAAAGTGGGTTAACAATAATATTAATTTGGTTTTAATCCAAACATTTCCACCCAAACATTGTAATATACTCATGTTTAATTCATAAGCATGTTATAATTTTACCGTTATTCAAATTGTAATAAATCCATTCTTTTTCTCTTATATCTGTAATATCAATTTATTACATAACAAATTACGTTTCAAATATAACAACAAAATTTCAATAATTAATACCTATTATTTAATTACACATTTTATTATTTTTTAATTAAATTATTATTTAATAATTTTAGAGAATTTTTAAATTATTTCAAATATAAACTATATAAATATTTATAATACAATCACTGTAAACTATTCCACGATTTTTATATAATACCTGACCGGTTACGCGTTATGGAATTATCAATGTTATTTATTATAAATAATACTTGTAATTCCATAACGAAATTCTAAATAATAATATTAAGCGAAATTCCACCAAATTCCAACAATGAACACCATCAATAATAATTTATTATTGCAATATTTGTATTAAATCCTTTCTAATAGACGCTCCAAGGCATTATTATGAAAAGTACTATCATGTCGCAATATGCGATTTTATAGTAATTGAGTTTTAACGTATACAACGCTGTGATTGACCCTTTTATGTCATCGCATATAATTTCATAGCGGGAAACAATGCAAAAACGAATCTGTCAATCGCATTAAACGTTGACATATCAATTATTTTTATGGGCGTGCCTGTGAAAGTGTCCAATGGACGTTCAAGATCCACATTGTTTTCACCGAAGACGAATTGGACGGGTGTCATTAAATTCATAATTCTCATATGGTCGAAGGCCGAGTCTTAGGAAGAACCAGGGAGAGAGGTGTCGGCGAGCCGCCGGTATATAAACCAACCGTCACTGGTACAGTGCATCATACAACCACGAGACCTCCGTGAGACAACATGAAAGCGTTCTTGGTAGGTATCCGTGTGCAGTGAAAGTGACTTGTGACCTGTGCGTGACCCGCGCTCCTGTGCCCGCTCTTTACCGGGACTCGTGCTTCCTATATGTGTACAGTGATCGATCGTTCGGTTTCATTCATCATTCAGTGGTTCGTGATAACTCGAATGGTAAATAAAACCGAACGATCTATATAAACAGTTGTATAGAGAATATGTTTCTGCCATAGGTATTGGCTGCCGTAGCGGCGCTCGGCTCGGCGAGACCCGAGGCGGGATACAGTTACAATGCGCCCAGTGGAGGTGGCGGCATAGGCGGAGGACTCGGAGGAATCGGCGGCGGCGTTAGCGGAGGCCACGGTGGCTTCTCTTCTGGAGGCGGCTTCTCCTCCGGTGGCCTGAGCTCGAGCAGCTTCGGAGTCGGCGGTGGTTCCATCGGCGGCGGATTCTCGTCTGGAGGCGGTTTCTCGTCCGGTGGCGGATTCTCCTCTGGTGGTGGCTTCTCTGCCGGCGGCGGCGGCGGCTTCGGAGGCGGCTTCGGCGGCGGCTTCGGTGGCGCCCCCATCGTCCAGAAACACATCTACGTCCACGTCCCACCCCCAGAACCTGAAGAACAGCGCCCACAAGTGATCGGAGGTGGCGGCGTGCCCCAGAAGCACTACAAGATCATCTTCATCAAGGCGCCCGCTCCTCCCGCGCCCGTTGCGCCCATCATCCCCGCTCAGGCCCAAAACGAGGAGAAGACCCTCGTCTACGTGTTGGTCAAGAAACCCGACGAACAGCCCGACATCACCATCCCTACCGCTGCTCCCACTCAGCCATCCAAGCCCGAGGTATACTTCATCAAATACAAGACCCAGAAGGAATCTGGTGGCGCTATCGGCGGTGGAATCTCTGGCGGCTCTATTGGCGGTGGCATCTCTGGTGGATCTATCGGCGGTGGTATCGGCGGTGGTATCTCGGGTGGTAGCATCGGCGGTGGACACGGAGGCAGCATCGGTGGTGGCCACGGAGGCTCATCCAGTGGAGTCAGCACATCCTACGGCCCCCCCGGCCAGTCTGGCCCATATTAAACAGCGCACGAAGCGCGCAAACTTGTGATAACTGCTCAGCCGGCGAAATCTAGTGTTAAGTAGAGAAAAAATTACGGTGCCTAAATGTATTTATGTAAATAGTAATTTTAATTTTTAATTATAGTTGTATGATAAAGTTCTTTTGCATAAAAAACGATAAACCAACGAATTCCTTTTGTTTTCAATTCGTATACACCTACATTATCAATTTAACTAAAAGCTATAATACATTATCATATATTAATTAATTATTTCCAATAGATATCGTTCAGTTATATAATTTGAACAAATGTCAACATTAATAAAATTAAAATTTTAAATATCGAATTCATTAGTTAATAGAACTGAAGTGAAAGAAATTAAACTATTCAAATTTCGAAATTCCATCTGGCCAGTCACATAAACTAAAACAAGGTCTTTTATCGTAGCTCCATAATTCCATTAACACGAAGAAGCGAAACAGGTGTCTAGATTTGGTAGAAAGTAAGTTTTCACCATGTGGGCGACACATTACGCAACACGGGGCAGCGTGACCCCGGTTGCATAATGCAGTCACAAATAAGCAAGCATCTTACAACATCTATACAGAAAATAAGAGAGTTTTGCTAAATATTTATTACATAATATATGTAAACCTATTGCGTCCTCAACAATCCGGGCTTGCGTAAACCTTGACATTTACGTGTAAAATTTTCCCTTTACAAAAACCAATAATTATATGACATAAAACATTTATGATTTGTTTAATTAAATGTTTTCAAAAAAGTAAACTTTACATTTGACCCAATGAAGAGCTAACAACGTGTGGTACAGGTCAAAAACCCGAGAACAAAAGAGCAAAAAGTGGTTCTGTAAGGCGATTGGTGGCAATTACGCAACGTAATGATGACACGGAACGAGAACTTGTTCTAACTGAATATTTATAACGTGTGAGAGTGACTTTCGTAACTTCCGTGTCTCCGTACATAGAAAATCATCGAATATTGTACCGATATTCGATGATTTTCAATGTACGTGATATATTGACAGTAACGTCACATTTTTGTCACTTTCTGCGAGGTGACAATTATTTCCTCCTATTGTAATGTTATTCTTGTCACATAGTAATATACCATAAATAGAGTTACAAAAAATATGTGAATAGTGAGAGAAACGGAAGATTGTAAGAATGAAAGTAAAATTGTAAATCGTATATTATGATATTGAAATCGATTTCGAAATGTTATTCCCAATATTTATATTCAAAAGAAAATTTATATTTTTATGGAAATATAAAACTCTTTCGATACAGGCCATCGAGGACTAAATAAAAAAATTATCCAAACCCAACAATTTCACTGACATTCTTGTCTATGAAACAGAGACGTATAAAAATTAATAAATAAGATTACGTAGTAGTAAATTTTCTAAAATAAGCTGTAGATGGTCAACTTTTAATGTTACATTTTGACTGTGTCTTAAAATCATGGTCATGTGAATTTGTCAACATTTTTATTTTTTTTATTAAAATAAAAAAAAAACTTACATCAAACATTATAATAATTAATAATTAAAACAGTTATATTTTTCCACCGCACTTCGGAACATTACGCTTAATTTATTTATTTAAAAGCTGTTTACATTAACTTACTCGTAAAGACGTCAATAACCGGTATCTTACTCGGTCTCAGACGCTGGACATAGATCAGTTAACATTCAGATGCGACACGTTAGATCGAACAGGTTTAACCTTTCTTGATGACTATTCGAAGATAAATTAATTGTAAATTAGTATAATATGCGTTTGTATAATTCAATTGTTGTTGATAGCAATTTCATTATATAAATGTAAATGATTCCTACTCCACTTTAGTCAGAATCGAACTAATTATAAATATGAAAGTTTGTTATAAAGTTGTTTAAATGTTTATTACTCAAATATGCTTAAACGGCTCAACGGATTTGAAATAAATTAGTACACGGGTAAATCCTAATTTAACACGTATGATACCTTATATATACACGCGGGCTAAAACATGGGTTTTCGCTAGTCTATTATCTATTAATATTATAAAGAGGAAAAATTTTACTGTTTGTAATGAATAAACTCAAAAATTACTCAACTGATTTTACAAAATGTTTCAAAAAAGCTACATTAGCAACTAATAAGCTATATATTATTTTCGAAAATTCGATCTATTCTATCTATCCGATGCGAAGCCAAACCAGATCGCTAGTCTGCCGGTAAAACAGACCTAAATTTATTGTGATATTATGGTGGCCTTATATTAATTATGTCACAATAGAAGCTGCTATTTTTTTTCTTTTGCAAAATTCACTTGTGCATTCTTACACAGGCTTACCATGAAATAGGTTGCTTAAAAATTAAAATACTACCTACTTGATCGTTGCGTATCTGTCAGTATTAATCTATGTCTTTGCCTTACCGGTGCGCCAGAGTAGACCGGATATCGTCATTAGTCATGATGACTTCACACTCATAACCACTGTTACATATATCAATGGCCTATTATAATTATTCAATAGCCATAATGCAGCTGTTTCTTACTTAACCTTTTGCAATATGATTTCTTTATTTTTTAATGGTGAAATCGATGTTAGACGATATTATGTTATTTTGCATGATATACTGGTTACTGGTATTGTGTAGATATTTTGTAATTCTAATGCTGGGTTAACACTAGCTGAACCCGTGACTTCGTTGACGTGAAAGAGGGGCATACCGCAATAAGAAATCTTTCTCTTATCAAAATACTTACAACGTGCATGCAAAAGTCGTTCTGATTCGTAACATTTAAAAAATTTCTCATTTGTACTTAAAATCATATGTGTCTTACTCCAGCATTTATTACTTTAAGATTATATTATTTATATATATATATATATATATATATATATATATATATATATATACTGATTCATGCGAATGAAGCCAAGGAATGCAATTAGAAAAAAAAACATTTTACTAGCGAACTTTATTATTGTCATGTTGTAAGTTTGCATTACGCTATTTCATTGAGGACCGAAAACAACCAAAAAACTTATATATTTTTTAATAATATAATAATAACAATTTCTGTACAAAATATTGAATGAATTTTTATAAAAAAAAAAATAATTTATTCACCATTTGATTATATTAATATTGAACGGACCACTAAATATACGAGACGACTTACGCTTGACGGGTTTTTAATAAAATTATATGGTATTTATTATTCTAGCAGGTATCTGTACAGTGTTCAACTTTTATAATTTCCGAAAAGTTAATTGAAAGAAACCGCTTTTAGTATTCACTCTGCCTTACACTCTTACACTGTGCCTTGAAGCATAAGTAAATAGGTATATATTTTTTGTACACTCATAAAACTTTGAAATAATAAATTAAAATTTTGTTCCGGGCAAAAAAGAACCGGGTAGACTCTTAACGAAATTAATATTGGGAAAGCACCAGTTTGACAGGTTTCGAGATGACATTTCTCTAAATATATTTTTTTTTATACGACTTAGAATGGCAAACAAGCTGACGGCCCACCTGATGGAAAGTGGTAACCGTCGCCTATAGACATGAGCAGTACCATGGACACACAAATACTGTTTTGCCTATGATACCCCCATGCGTTGCCATTCCTGAGGACTCAGGTGTTATTCCTCTGTACCCTGTAATTTCACGCCATATCCCACCCTTCAAACCGAAACATAGCCATGCAAACGCTTCACGGTAGAAACACGAATGGGACAGAGGTACCCAAACAATCGACTTTTGTACAATTTATTTACTTATTGATGTATTTATAGTTTATTATACACAAAAATTAGATTGTAATTATTTTAAACAAAGATGTACAACAGGCGAGCTTAACTCTGTAAGAGTTCTCTTCCAACAAACCCTGAATGGAATCTATTTCTAAAATTAAAACGATGATTGAATATCACAGTGAAATCTTTATTGCAAAAATCAGTATGAGCTTATTTTCTCATAATTTTATAATAATTTTAATTAGAATTATAATACTCAGTAATTGCGCAAAATTAAGGATTAAAATATTAATTATTTTTAAATCATTGATTTTAATTAGAATTATAATACAGTAATTACGCCAAATTAAGGATTAAAATATTAATTATTATTAAATCGTTAATTTTAATAAGAATTATAATACAGTAATTACGCAAAATTAAAGATTACAATATTGATTATTTTTATATAATTAATTTTAAAATAATTATAAAGGGATAAAGTTTTCTTCAGGGTCGACAACGCGCGCTTTTTGCCGACATTCATAGGCTACGGTAACCACTTAAAATCATATGCTTGTTTGCCACCACAGTGGTATAAAAAAATCATCAAATTAAAATATTAGGTTAAGAGATAGATTTAAGAGACACGGCACCTCAGAATCGACCCCCTCAGAATCAATCCCATTTCGAACACAATTATAACGTAATTATACGTAATTATAACAAACACAAATATTACTATAACTTGCCAGTATGCTATCAGAAAATTGCTATATTTTTTATTATTACAATTAATTACGAACATATAGTATTGTACAAAGTTAGTAATGATCTATCGCGAGAACTCTACTTTCATACTAATCTAATATAAAATATTAAAAAATATTTTATCATTTGATATTAGATTAATATAAAAGTGCTTAATATGTGCATGCTTGCCTAGTCCAGTACAAAATACTATACCTACCTCTCTCTCTCTCTCACTGCATTAGGTTGGCTGAAAGCGATCTCTTTCAGAGATAAGATTTTCGCCCATTAATGTTTTAAGATTGTGTTCCACAAGTAAAAACGACTACATTCGTGACAAAACTAGTCATTTTTATTTTAAAACCAAAGTACTCAACTGATTTCGATAAAATTTCTATGGGACCGATCTAAAAGTATATCCTTTCGGATAAAAAAAGGAATTCTTCGAAACGATTTATAAATGACTGACTTATCAGGTAACAAACATATACCAAATGCAGAACTTCTATCTTTTTTTAAGTCAATTGAAAAATACATGAATTTCACAGATATACTGATAACTGTAGGAGTCATAGCGTAAAATATAATCCTACAGTTATTTGAAATAGATTGTATGACATGTAATTACTTAAAAACTATATATAATTAAACGACATCCACATATTCGTCTTCGGTCTTTGA